CTGCCAATTCTCACAAGAATTAGATCAACTGAACATTCCAGACAAACATTTCGTATCATAAGATGTTTGTTCGCTCCTTACTAGCATAAATATTGAAGAAAAGTAGTGAGAATCATATGCCAGCAAATCCCTGAAAAGAAGCTACGGGAATTACCACTTCTTTGTACAAAGAACACTCAGTTCCGATCCAACGACCAGGTGTACCGGCAAATTGACGGGGCGGCTATGGGTCCTGTTCTTGCGAACATATTCATGGCTCATCTTGAACAGACACGAATGAAGGCGCAAACAGAGAGAACCACCTATTACTGCAGATATATTGACGACACGTTTGTGCTTTGCAACAATATGGATCACGAGTTCACGATGTTCGAAAACTTCAGTGCGGCTCACCCACACATAGCACTTACAATGGACCATGAAAGTGAAAATCAGTTCCACTTCCTAGATCTAAGCATAAAAAAAGGAATGATGGAACGATTGAAAAATCCATCTACAGGAAAGAAAATTGAACTGGCCAATACCCGAATGAATTATTACAGCTTTTACCCGATCGGATACAAACGGAGACTGGTGAAGACGCTCTTCAGTAGAGCTGTGGCGTTGTGTTCATAAGCTAAGATCGAAGAGGAACTCGCAGTCATCGAAAAGAACATTGTCGAAAATCGATACCCCAGGAAGTTCATATGAAAATATGGGAAGGAAAAACCACCTAGACCGAAACCAGAAATAGTTGAAAAGAAACCAGTCTCCATAAGAACGGAAAACAAAATTAAAGGTACACTGAGAACAGCATTTCCCGTAGCCATACTCATTCCACTTTAGAATACAGTATACTCTTTAACCCAATCAAAAGTAGATATGTATTCTGATCAAGTCAACTCCAATCGCATTTACAAATTCATCTACACTTGCGATATCAAATACATAGGAAGGACTGAGACGAGAGCGTCTACTATATCATCCCAGCATGTCCATAAAAGTTTCCATTTGAAAGCAGCAAAGTGTTCACTAGAGCAATTGCCAGACACCACCTAATTGACACGGAGCATACAATGACAATTAGTCAGGTTTTCAAAATAATCAATACACAGAGAAAAGCCTGGTTGTTTCGATTCGCAGAAGCCATTGCTATCACAAGACTTCGACCCAACCTATGCATATAGAAAGGTAGCCTGACTAATCTCTCGCTGCCCTGGTGGCCACAATTGTTTTCTTCTATTGCACAACATTCCAACCAATGTTGATTTTCACTTACTGAGTTAAAATCATTATTAAGTCTCCAAATCTAGTAAATAAAATTATTTTTTCTGTTTTATAATTTCACTTCACTATTCACCCGCACCCGCCTGAACTCTCTACTATAATATGCATAAATCTCATAGTCTATCTTCTTGTTGTTGTTGTTAATTTATCTTGTATTTGATCTATAGTCAATCCCTGTTTACAAGCCAAATCTCAACTCTAACTCACTTTATCTACATTCTATATAGATAGTTACTCTTTTAACACTAAGTAATTTGTCTACTTACAGCATTTTTTGCAATTATGCTGCCTTATACTTTCTCTCGATAACTCAAAGTCACTGTGAAAAAGGCATGTTCAGAAATTCTGCAACGTATTTTTTGATTTTGTTTAGGATGTGTACAATTTGAAGAGAAAGAATCCACGAAGTAAAATCAACTCTTATTATCCTGAAAATATTTTATTTATTTATTTATTCAAACTATAATGAAAGAAACTGGCTGTATGAATTGTTGGTATCTATCCTTGAGTTAGTGTTTCCACAAAAATACCTATTTAAATTCTGTTGTTTTAATAACGTGATAGCTGTTCAAAGGTGGAATTTATTGTCTACAATAGATTCCACTGAACTGTTACATGAGAATATATCAGTACATCTGTTTTATTTATACATATAATATATTCTCCTCCTCATCCTCTTCTGACACTTAAACTATGATTTGTATGGCCTAGATCAAGTGATAAATCAAAATGTTATCTGTGATAAGAAAAGAAACTGTCAAGTAGAACAATGAAGCGTCGTATCTTTTAATAAGCATACACATGACATCGAGTCGTTTTTCTTAAGAAAATTATCAGGATGCTAACCACACTTGTTGACTTAGTGACCAGATGGACAATTGCTTTGGCTTGGATGCATTGACTTCTCATTTCAGTGGAATATTTTATCATTGTCATCATCATCATCATCATATATCACCACAAAATCGGAGATGCAGTTGCATCCAACCGATAGTATCCAAGTACGGACGAAACGCAAGTCCTGGTTTGAACTAGCAGTCTTAAGTACCGGATATCTCTACATCTTGTCCTGTGTTGTCGTATTATCGACTATCAACCTTCTTTCTGTACTGTTTGACGAAAGTGGGATTTTTGTGTAGACAGTCAACAAAAGTAGTAGGCACACGACTAAACTACACTGTAATGATGGTAATTCCAAATTCACTTCATAATGAATTCTTTCTAACACAAAAATGACTTCCTGCTTTTTTAATTACTATATGAAATTGAGGTAAATATGACTAAGCCAAGTTCAGATTTATGCATCGGTGGCTTAGCGGTAGAATACTCACCAACCATGCAGCATATGTTCCGGGGCTCGACACCCGACCAACGTACTCCTTTACCTGGCTAGGCCGCTATTAGGACCGGTAAAGAGGGAATGTTGGATATGAGACTAGCAACCCCATCCCTTAAAAATAAACACCACTACTACTGAAACTTCAAAGCTCTAGTTTGAAGCCCCCTGGGTTCCACTCAAAACGGAAAGGAATAAAACAAAACAGTAAAGAAATTTAAATATATTTCTCATGAGAGAATACTTCCACATAACTGAGTCTTAGATTAGCGTTTTGTTGATCAATTCTTGCAGGTCAGGTTGTGCACTGATTAAGTGAGCAATTAGGTATATTGCGTTTAGCAAAAGACTGGCATAGTGTAGCATATCAACAGTACAATCAATCCCCTAAAAACACTGAGCGTAAAAATCTCAACATGGTTTGTTGTCTTTACCGATTCATCCAGCTGACAACGTGAAAAAGCCACATTATGCTAAAGAATTGTGATTATTATTTCTTTCGGTTCCGAAGCTTTGTTTCCTGCAGTCACTCTCAGCTGGTTCCAAGACTGCTCGTAAGCTTTCATTTCCTCCTCACCGTATCTTCTCCATGTCACTCTCGAAAATCTAAACTCTGTTCCAGCCCAGTGGTGTGGTATAGCTGTCTCCTAAGTGTATGTCCAGTCTACCTCCATTTCCTGGCCAACAGGTTTTTGGTTGGTTCGTTGCCCGCCTGAGTTCTTTCCTTCTTATCGCTTATAACCGGCCGCTTGATATTCAGTGTGGAGTGAAGGTAACTGTCGATGAAGGTCTACAGCAGCCTGTTGGAAATGCTTTCATGACGCGCCGGCCAACGGTTGAGCTCGGATTACCACACAGATTTAGAGTATTAAACATCTATCTTGCCTTCCTGATTTCAATCTGGTTGGTGGTTTCTACATCCTCATCCATTGTTGATACGACGCTGCTTATCCAGACAAGTGAAACAGACGAATTCCTTTAGACTACTCTTATTGATGCCTGTTATTGTTGCTGATCGATGTGTAACTTTACCACCTCCGCCTTCCCTATATTCACCTGTAGTCCTGTCTTCGATGCTTCTACTGCCAACTTGTTGGCTTTCGCCTCTAGACCTTCAAATTTTGGTGACAGTCGGTCGGTTGGTTTTCGACATAGAACTTTGCACATATGTGCGGCAGTTCAAGTCGCCACACTCAAAATGTCACCAGATTTTGGTAACATTAAGCATAAGTCATTTGCAAAGTCCAGATCTTCTAATCTTTTTATCAGTTCATAACTATGATACATTCATCCACTTACCGTAGGTATATAAGTTAAGATTTTGTAATTTCTCGGTTTTTTATTTCTACTTTGATAAAGGTTATTATCACGGCGATGAAAAAGTTGTGAAACAGACGGTGAAAAACAACAATACGGTTTTAACGGATTACAAATGTCCACTAAAAGTTTCCAAAAGAATGCTTACTCAACAAAAAAATATTCTTTTCGATAATTCCATCATCAGGTCCTACAGTACATCCATATGCATCCATAATAGTGAATGAATTAGTGATATTAAAAACTGGCTCCTATTCAGGTAGGTAGGTAGTTACCTGGGGTACAGTAGGTCGATGGGGTGTGAGGACAAATACTCGTCACGGATGACATTCACTAGTGGTCGCAGTATATCGTGCGTGAATTGACAGAAGTCAGAATTCATGGACCATTGGATCGGGTGTCAGTGGCTTAATAGTCGTCTACGAGCTAGCTCCCCTTGTAACTGGAAGGTCCTGAGGTTAAAGCCCCAATGGCTGCGTACTGCTGAAGAGTCCCAAACTAGGTAAACGGAAACAAATATCTAGTACTCCATGCAGATTTTAAAATGGTTGTCTAACAGATCGATGTCAGTTCATGATGAATTCCTGTAACCAATCAATGAAATCCCTGAAAACCAACGCGTGCTTGTTGTTAACAACATTGGGAAAATAAAAAAGGAAATTTATTTTCAATAATTTATGAAATTTCTTTAATAGAAAAATAAACAATGTGAACACATTTTATATTGATTGTCGAGGGATTGTTTGATTCATTTCTGACCAAATCTTTGTCTAATTGATAAAATTGTTTGTTTAAGTTGATCCAGTTGCAATGGAACATTGAACAAGGGATTCAATGTAGTTGTTTCAATGTGAAATTTGTCTGGCCTTCTCCTTTTGGCTGTTCGTAAACGTCTTGTCAAGTGATCTAATAAGTGCATAACTAATTGTCTAGTATATGTGACAAATTGACACTGTCTTAATGAAGATTCAATGGCGCTGTAGTCCATGTCATTATCATCATCATCATCACTGATATTATTATTAGTATTACTACTGGTGTTATTTTTATCATCGTTATTCACTCTTGAAACCTCCTTCATCTACGACTTCCTCTTTGAAGGGGGTAGGGTAGATCGATGTGTTGTTAGTAAGGACTCAGTAGTTTTCACTTTGTTCTTGTTGTCATCATTATTATTGTCGTCATTCATCTGCAAATACCTTGTCTTATTATTATTATTGTCTTCCGCAATCGACTCCTCTACTGCTTCTAATCTTCGTTTCGATTGATTCATCGTCGCTCCTGAAGGTGTCAAAGTGGATTGATTCAGTTTTAATGAGGGCTCAGTCGTCTTGTTATCTTCGTTGACGTCGTCATTATTATTTTTATTATTATTTCCATTCACAGTTGTTTCATTCTGTATCTTCAACGTTCCCGTCTTTGAAGGTGGCACTTTTGGAATAACTGATGTAAAATTAGAAACTAAATCATTTAATGAATGCAGTAGAATGCACAATTCTCTACATGAACGTCCACGATCATCATCATCATCATCATCATTACTGGCACACCATAAATCGAATACATGAAATGTCAATGCGAATAGATCGAATGTACCATGAAGTTCTACACAGACATTCATTGAAAATAAAATAGAATAAACAAAAACAGTGGTGAGTGTATAACATTAAAAATTCCGCATTAATAAAAGTATACTAAGCATAATAAAGAAGACTGAGGTTAAAGCATAAGGCTATATTAGTGTATTTAATTATATACACTAGTGATTGACGGAAACATATTAGTAGCTGAAAACCAGTCCAAACAATTGACGGCTGTCACTCTCATTTAGCAACAAGCTCACACTCATCAGTTGTGTCTATCCGGTTTCATTCAGGTCAGAGGGATCGAACCGTCCAAATACTGGCTGCTGACTAGCTACTAATTCGATAAATTCGTCATTTACCAACCACATACACAGTTAAAAGAGGGGAATCACTACAGCTTCTTAGCGGTGTATAATAATGAGTTTGACTCAAGTCACAGACAGCTAGATATCAGTTCAAGCTAGTGGAATTCAACCTGCCTAGCTCAACTACTATATTATGTATGCTCCACTGTTATTCCATGGTATTCAGAAGAGGATTTATTGTGATGCTAATTAATATTTCTCCTTTCCAGAGGAAACCTCGAATTCTGTTATATACTGAATAGGGAAAATATAATCCTCATAAGGGACATTACAAAACACCTTTGTGGATGATAGTGATGTCCCACACGGAAAACCTCGTTGAAGCCTTTGACTTGAAGAAATGAGTAAGACAGAACTAACTGACTAGTATCACCGATGACTAGCCTGATTGCTCGACAGACTGTGAAGAGTAATTGGAGCAGGTGCTTACTATATATCAACAGAAATACCTTGTTAGATATCTCCACTTTCAGTTGATGTATGTATGTCTCATATCTTACAAATCTGAAATTACACACAAGTGAAAACAATGTGAACAGTGGATGGAATGAAAGCTTGTGGGAAGTTGTGAAATTAGCAGAAAGTCACAGCAGATAGATAAGTGAGTGGAATAGAGATGTGCTGCGCCACCACAAAGCATTATATTCCACTCCGAAGGCAAGCAATGAAAATAATAATGATAACCGTAATAAAACACGAATAAAAGAAACTTACTACTCCAATCTAATAAGTAGAAATATCTTGACAGAGTATTAGCCCTTCCGTTTTCATGATCAATTGAAAATGTTGGTATGGGATAACTTATTACACCAGCCTTAAACAATCGGCCAAGTAAGAAGTATAAACGCCGCCAGCATCTTATCTGTCCCGTTGTCGCTATGATTCTCAGAAACTATAAACAACATAGATTTATATACATAATTTATAATGTAGATATCAGTAATAATAATAATAATAATAAATATAATAATAAAAATTAGTTCCCTTTATGAATTTCGACAACACAATAAGAAGACGTAGTTTATCTGAAACGTGTAATGTATTGGCGCAACACATTTCGGACATTCTGATCACACATGTACTTGTCATACACAATTTTTATATAATGCAAGAAGACATGAATAATTACAATACAGGTCTGAATGTATACAGGTCAAGGTCACAAATAATGGGTAGGGAGACACAAAAGGTGTGGGTAAGAAAGATAAAAGGAGAAAAAACAAGGCAAAGAAGGGGTTGAAGATATTAGGAAGTAAATTGGTCCTTGGTTCTAAATTGTATTCCCAAGGCAGGTTTAAGGGGATAACAAATAATTTTTGGACACATAAGGCAGGTTTAAGTCTTTTTATGGCCAAGGCTTCAATGAATTTAAGTATGTGGCCCAACCTCGTTTTATATATCGGCTTAAAGGCACTGTTGAAATCAACCTTATGACCCATCTCTATAATATGCTTGGCTATAGATGATGTTGGACATCTATTTCCGGGTTCAGTTGTGTCTGGTGATTTCATTTGATGTTGCAGCCACTTTGGAATGTGTCATGTAGCCCTAACCTGCAGAGACCGATGGGTCCCCCCTATGTACGTGTCTCCACACATACATGTAAATTGATAAACACAGTGGGATGTGACACTATCGTTCGGATGATGTGAGGGTTTACAGAACAGCATAGTCCTCGTTTTCTCTATGAAGATAAGTTTAGCTGCATAATAGGTTCTATTGATTGCGGCCTTTAGTCTTTTTCTAGTGACTAAACTTTGTTGATCACCTCTGAACGGTAAGGATATGTAAACATCCTTTTTGGGAGCTGATTGGATTGATAAAGCTCTATGGTTGACACTTCCGTAACGTCTAATAAATCTCAGTAAGTAATTGTTGTCTAACAGTATTTCAGTGAGGTGTTGTCTTTTTTCTTCAATTGTATCGGTAGTACATATACGGTGAATGCGCTTGAACAAACATCTAACCAACGCCTTCTTATACTGTAGTGGACAGAAACTATGATAATTAAGGTACTGTCCCGTCCATGTGAACTTTCTGTAGACAGATCGTTTTACTGACCCATCTTCTCGGCGGGTTATTAGTACATCTAAAAATGGCAGGCATCCATTATTCTCTTTAACATATGTTAGTGATATGCTGTTTTGTGCTCTATTGATCCGGTTCAGGATTTCTACGGCGTCTGTCGGTTTATCACAAATGACTATCATGTCATCTACATATCTTTTATAAAAATAAACTTTTTCAATTTCTTTATCCACTAAGTTCTCGACATGCGACATATATATCAGCTAAAAATGGACCTAGGGGACTTCCCATGGCAACACCATCGATCTGGCGATAATGCTCGCCCTCGAATGTAAAATTAACATTCTTAGTACAAAGAAGCAGTAACTCTTTTAAGTAGGAAATGGATACTGGTAATAGGAAATCATTGTCAGAGATGTAATCGCATAAAATGTTAACCGTCTGTAAAAGAGGTACATTCGAAAGTAAAGATTCAACATCTAGGGAAAACATCATTTTGTCCTTTATATCAAAGTTATCAAGACAATCAATTTACATGTATGTGTGGAGACACGTACATAGGGGGGACCCATCGGTCTCTGCAGGTTAGGGCTACATGACACATTCCAAAGTGGCTGCAACATCAAATGAAATCACCAGACACAACTGAACCCGGAAATAGATGTCCAACATCATCTATAGCCAAGCATATTATAGAGATGGGTTATAAGGTTGATTTCAACAGTGCCTTTAAGCCGATATATAAAACGAGGTTGGGCCACATACTTAAATTCATTGAAGCCTTGGCCATAAAAAGACTTAAACCTGCCTTATGTGTCCAAAAATTATTTGTTATCACCTTAAACCTGCCTTGGTAATTCAATTTAGAACCAAGGACTAATTTACTTCCTAATATTTTCAACCCCTTCTTTGCCTTGTTTTTTCTCCTTTTATCTTTCTTACCCACACCTTTTGTGTCTCCCTACCCATTATTTGTGACCTTGACCTGTATACATTCAGACCTGTATTGTAATTATTCATGTCTTCTTGCATTATATAAAAATTGTGTATGACAAGTACATGTGTGATCAGAATGTCCGAAATGTGTTGCGCCAATACATTACACGTTTCAGATAAACTACGTCTTCTTATTGTGTTGTCGATAATAATAACAGATTGGATGGATAATTATTAACTAACTCATACGTCAGTGCTAGTTAAACTGATGGTATGCCCACTTGAAAGTTACTCACAACACGTACATACATACATACATACATACATACATAGATAGATACATACATTACATATATTACGACCTATGCTAACTTACTTACACACTCACTGTCATGCGTTTGATAGAAAGCATAACAGGCTCTATGCGATGTGTTTGTTTTCTGTAACCTACTTTCAATCCTTCATTCCTATGTCTCCTATCAATTGTGACTATTCATCAGGTGACTCTTCTCTTGTCAATCCCCACTCGATTACCTTAGATTATTCGTTTTTTTTCATAAATTATTAGTATTATTATTATTTACTATACATGTTGACTTATTCTGATACTAACTGACTGAAAATACCGCATCTGATCATTTGTTATCATTTAACAGGACTTCAAGTGAACATAGAGGAAAAAAAGGTGATGAAGATAACTAACCAACCAACAAACAACAACAACAAGCACCAATCACTATCTACCGGAGATATCAGATAGAAGTCACTTATCTGGGAACCATCGTTTACAGACGGCACGGCTGAAGCTGCATAAAAGTCAGGAAGGATTTTTGAAGCAAAAACGAACATTCATTATTCTCGACACAGCCTGGAAATGTGCTGCACTCAGCTTATAGAACAGGATTCCGATTTGTAATACGAATCCCAAGTTATTTTTTCTTCATGGGTCACAGAATTGCAGGGCGCACCTCACGAAATGCATTACCAACAGCCAGCTGCAGACTTTTATCCAACAGCAGAGACGGTTGTGCTGGGGATACTGCTGAGAGGTTGGGCAAAGCTAGCGTAAGACAGTGCGGAGCGGTCAGGTGATAAAGAGGTCCGGTGAGTAATGGTGGAACGATTGGTGGCAGAGTTCGACAGTCAGAACAACAGGAAGCAGGTAATTCAGCAGTTCCATGCTATGAAGCTGGCAATGGACGGAGATCTACTCGTATTGACGGTGAAGCAGACAAGCCTACTTCGTCGGTCTCCTCCAACACTTGATGAAGAGTCTGAGACGCAGTTGTTGGCGTCTCAGGTTATCAAGTGTACCACAGCACTTTGCTCAGCAATCACAACTGGTCAACACTGCACAACATACAGACGTCGGAGAGCACACGAAGGTAACAAGACAGATACTTTTCACAACAGCGGCCGCAATAGCGCCATCGAACCAGCGGGACAGGAAATTGAAGATTTGCAGAGTAAAGTAGCGGCGCTACGAATGAGCGCCAGGAAAGACCAGTGTTTTGAATGTGACAAACCAGAAGACCAGGGGAGATGCTGACCGAGTAGACATAGAAAAACAATTTAGACACATTTAATATTATTCTATCGAATTCTGAGTGTGTGCCCTATCCATCTCCATTTTCTCCTACATATTTGTTGAACAATAGGCTCTTGACTGGTTTGTTCTCAGTCAACCAGAGTCTCTTGTTCCTAATTCTTTCTGGCCAGTCAGCCATTCGATCTTCAGTATGGAGCCAACAAAGCGGACAGCTGTTGATAAAAGCCTATAACTGGCTGTCGGAAATCCTTTTCGTGACGCGCACGTCAAGTTTCTGACCCTTATAGAAGAACTGACTGACTGACTGTCTGACTTGACATTTGTGTTGAACAGAATCCGAATCTTGTTCTTTGTGATGCTGAGGCGGAGTGCAGTGCAGAAGATTTCCAAACTGGTTTCAGGTTGATGAATGCGTGCGTATTTCTCCTTTCCGAGTCACCTGACAACTCCAGTAGGTCGAATAAAGCAGCTCAATCTTCAGGGCGCTTTTACTAAACTCCAAACCTACACACCATAATTTTGAAAATACGTCTGATCATAAAATTCTAGATACTAACAGTTTGAACGGACATTAAGGTGTGATGTTAGCTGATGCATAGGAAATCCTGATTAATAAATAAAAAATGGATATGTATCACTAATTATTAGTACTTGGTCAAAATTCTCCACTGTCCATATCTTCTTATGGAAACGTTAAGAAATGTTTTACAACTGTTTACCCACACACACGCATGCACACTCTGTTTAAAGTGTTTAACAAAGGTAGACCAATATTTGTAAGTCCGAGGTCAAATTTTGATCACAGCTGATAAAATTTTGTTTATTATACTTGTTGATACTTTTTGAATGACTCATGATTGGACAAATTTTCAAAAACAAGTGATGTTCCTTTTATATATAAACCTCTGTTATGTTAATTTCGATTAATTTCCCTGAAGAAGTTCGGACCAGATTGCCGAACGAAACGTTGGAATTACTCATTTCAATCTCGCTGAGATTTTACAAATATAATCTTTGACAATTTTTACATGTCTGAAATTTGTTACGTGAATACACTACACACGTTTCAGATAAATGACATTGTCTTATTGGTTTGTCGAAATCCCTCGAAAATATAAACTGAATTCATTAACGCAGAGGATATATTCACCACCCACCCCTCACAGTCAACCATTTTCCTGACCATGCAAATCTCCACTCAATTACTATTTCCCCCATAGACACATTTGAGAATAGATATGTTTGTGGACACTGCCAAAGAGACACTACAGGCCTTGTGTAAGTTGCTATGTAATACACTACGTTTACTTGATCCGAAGAGGTGATGGCACTTTTAGATGATCGAGAGATGACACAAAGTTTAAATGTCCATGATGTACATGATAATTTCCACAGATGATAGTGACGATAACGATGCAAGTAACGCTCAAAAGAAAACAGACACAGTTGTAGAGAGTATGCCAGATTTGCTGTGAAACTTGTGGAAGAGAAGTGTTCTACGGTTGCGAAGGTAATTACAGCAACCGTTCGACTGCAGAGGAAGTAGACAGCAAGGAACCCGCCACAGCCACCACCACGTGAGGTATCACGATGGATGTTACGTCCATGGTAGTATATACGGCCACAATCTGACAATTTACACAAAAAGGAAGCAGGTTAACTGAACAATTTCACAGGCTGAATTTTTGAGTTGAACAACCGGAAAAAGCATACATAGATACCTTGAAGCCAGGTCTCTAACAAAATACTTATTGTCAGTAGTCTGATCATACCCCAGGAGCAGTTTACCAGAGCGACAAGTGATGGAAAAGGCAGTTAACAATCTCATTTCGATAGTAAACAGCATATGGAAAATGTTGAAAGATGAATTAACAATAATTTCAAAGGGCCCAACATCCATCATGCGTTGATCTAAGAATGTTACTAATCAACTAGCTTATTTATTAGGAACTTAATAGTCAAAGTGCCTAGTGACTAAACATGAAAGACAATATTGCAAAGTATATATTCCCGCCTGACTGCAGTGTCAATTTATAATGAAGAGTGTTCGCTTGCATTCAACAATCAAGTTTTGATTGTCTTATTTTCTTATATAAAGCTTGACCGCAGACTGGCATCAGTTAAAGAACCATTGAAGAACCAGCCAGGAGAACCGTTTTCTCCTAGTTCGAGACTCTTCATCAGTACGCACCCACACCGTGAGATTCGAACCCCGGACCTTCCGGTTACAAGACACGCTCTTAGACCATTCATTCAGACACTCGGATCCAACTCAATGGCTCATGAATTTCAACAGCTTTACTGATTCGTGATTTTAGCGCGACTACTAACTGCTCGTCCTCAATCCCGACTCTTTAGAATTTATTTTGTATATATGCCCTTTTCCATATGTTTAGCAGCTAAAACTGACTAACTTTCAAGTGTTAGTGCGCAAGGATTTGAAGTAACATCGCGAACTGACTGAGATCAGTTAGAGAACAACTGAAAGAAACAGGTGGGAGAACTGCACCTCATCGAGGATCATATCAATAACCTTTACAATCACATTTTTTAACAGGATGCTAAACATTGTTAGTTCATTCATGAAAAGGTTCAATGTGACAGTAAAATAGCCTGAAACATGAGTGACTACATCTTGAAGAATATTTGATAGGAAGTAATAAAAGTAAACATACAGCTATATACTACTGATTAATTGAGATTAGTAGTTGTATACCACTCATATCATCAATCAGTATTGGTGCTTGCTAGTCAGTCAGACAGAGATGATCGAAACACACTGGACGATCGTTCCGCTCGTTTGTGATCGACTACATCAGCAGTGTGGTGGTGAAACTGTGGTGAAAATTCCACCTTTGCAATTCGCTAACCAGTGTTTGTAAATTGTTAATTCGATTCATGAGTGTGATGACTGGACAGCTCACGGCAACAGTAATTTGAGAAAGCCAATCGAAAAACAAAACAAAAAACTACTTAGGACCACCAAACATATGTGAAAGGATATTTTGAATGGTGAATAGTGGGAAAGGGGATCCGAGTTTCAAAGATAACAAAGTCTGAATACATCTCTACACACCACTGTGAACACAATTTTTGCATAATGTTATCCAAAGTTTTCAAGCCGTGACCAGTAGGGTACAGCAGGTTGAAGGTGAGGACAGTTACTCATCGAAAAAGACATTGCGAAGTGGTCGCGCTATGTCGTCAATTAGCAGAAGTTAGAATTCATGGGCCTTTGCATCGCATCTCAATGGCTTACTGGTCCACAACCTCCTGTTGTAACCAGAAGGTCATGCGTTCGAACCTCGAAGGGTGTGTAGTGCTGAAGAGCCACAGACTAAGATGATGAAACAGCCGCCCCGTACTCCCAGGTTTCCCAATGGTTCTCTAACCGATGTAAGCTCATGATGAAGTCCTCCAACCAATCAAACAAAATCGCTTCAAACCAATACTTCAGTACGCACCCACACTTCGACCTTCGAACCCAGGAAGGATCTACCGGTTACAAGGTGAGTTCGTAGACCATCTAACTACTACTGGGACCTACTCGATCCAATCGCCCATGAATTCCAACACTCCTGACAATTCGTGATATACATAGCGCAACAGCCAGCCAATGAAATAAGTGAAGGTGAGAAACTGATGTCTTATCTGACTTGGCCGACCCCGTCGGTTACGACTTCTCACTAAAACTCCAGGTAACTTCTACCTGTATACAGCCAATTGCTAATGACATTCAGATTAATTAATCAAGTGTTAGTGTATGCAGGGATTTGAGTGGTTACAGGTATCATCACAAGTTAGCTGACATCAGTTAAAGAACCTTGGTGTGTGAATGTATATTGTAACAAAGGACAACAACTTTCGTCCATACTTGAACACAAAAAAGTATATCATTTTATGTATACTTACTGATTATGTGATTTCATACGACGATATATATCAAACTGATAATCTCCCTGTGATTGAAATAAAGTAGGGTCACCACTTAAGTCAACATAGACTAAACGATCATCTACAATTAAAGAAGAAATATACAACAAAAGTGACTGAAGGCTGTGTAGAATAGATTGATTAAATTCCGACAAATAAAGCTTGGAATGAACACTTCTCTACAAAAATTGAATGTAGACGCATCTGATTGACTTGGTTTCAACATAGAACTTTGCATAGAAGTACGACAGTTCAAACTGCTACAACACTATATACACCACATAAAGGAAGACAAAACGGACAAAAACTAATATTCACAATAGGCAGACATGCACGTGGGACAAAGAATAGCAACATGGAAGGACATGATGGTTTAAAAGGATATGACATATGAATGTGTCTATGTCAATTATCGAGCCATAGTACCAATTGTCTTCAGCCTTGATCGGCGTTCTTAGAATCCTGAGGACTGACTAACTTATTTCAACATAGAACTTTGCACCAATGTGAAGCAGTTCAAGTCGCCAAACTCCATGTAGCACACAAGCCAAGAGAAAAAAGTAGAAGGAATGCAAAATAGGGACAGTGAACAGAGATATGAGGTAAAAAGAATAGTAATATCGAAGAACAATATAGTGTTATTGGAAATCATATGTCACAAAGAGTGGATGCGTATACGCCGGCCATTGAGAACAATTTTGAGCCAAATCACCGATTGTCTCCAGTCTCTGGTTTCTACCGTCCCGAGGGCCCCAACCAAGAAATCTGAACCTTCCTACGTTACTGGCTTAAACTAACTGTTGTGGATTTCACTGACTGATGAAGCCATGTTTTGTTTTGACTGCCGCTAGCTCTTTTCCAACTTGGCCCTATGTCAGCTAACATCGCCCAACCAGGAAGCCTAACACCCAACCCCTACGTGGCTCACTCTAACAGTTAACGTCCTCATAAACTGACTTCCAGTTTTGATCCAACCACCACTAACTCTTTTCCAACAAGGATCCTATGTTAACCAACACTTCCCGTCGAGACAGGTGCTGTCTAGACATGCATAACACATGTCCTAACCATCTCTGAATCAATGTAACTTCACACACTCAGAGAGTCATACAAAAATAGGTGGAAACATCTTGTAGTCTTAAGAGTCCTCGTCGTTCAGTCATGAAAAACAAAATAAACCAAACTAATATGAACTCTGATCAAGATTTGAACAAAGAGTTACACATACATCTTTTATATTTTAGTCTATTTGGTGATACACTCTGTGAACAGTGTGGATACTTGTTATCAGTCTTTATTGAGAATGTTTAAGAAAATATATTGGCCATGATCACATGACATATAGTAAGGGGATTTGTATTTTAGGAAATGCTTATATGATACACAAATATGCCGAAGCTAAAATGGAAATGATTTGAGCACACGCTGAAGTGACCGTTGAATAATCTCACGTGGTAAACAAGCCCTTGAGTAAAACCCGAATAGGAGACAGTGAATTCCGTGTCCGACGGTGGACTGAGAGGAGGAATTAATTGTAGAAAAAAAAGAGTTGCGGAGAGTATATAAGGATACAGAGACATGCTGCTGAACCTCTACGCTCCATAAACTTGAATTTAACTGAAACATACGTGATATGTATTTGTACAATACACTTCGAACATTCTGACCACACACACGCGCATATTTGTCATAGATACTCATACAAAGAGTAACGAAGCATAAGTAGTTTGCGATAGATGAAGGTGAGTTACATATAGTCGATTTCAATAGCACCCTTAAAATCATATATACAACACTGTTGAGTTATACATATTTATGTTCGTTAAAGCGCCATTTTTGAGAACAATCTCGAGTCATATCACCAATTATCTCCAGTCTACATTGATTCATAAGATCCTGTGAACACCTCTCAACCAGGCAACCCACACATCCTCCCTCCTATGGGACTGCATAAGACTCCATGGTTTCATTTCAGGTTTTGATTTCACCATCTCTAACATGAGTCGGATAGCATTACCTGCCGAGGAAGCCGATGGTTAGACATGCACAACACACGACTTAATTATCTCGATAGATGTAGAGCTTAGCAACTTCATCGATTGACTTACCACCCTACTTACCTAACACTCTAGACCCTAAATTTGATATTACTCAACCTACCGTACCATATAACAGGAGATAAAAAGCAAACACCTATGACCAATCAAAGACAGTTAATCTTTTTGCATATCTCATACATTTATTCCCCTTAGTGAATTTGAACAAAGCAAGAACTACAATTTTAGCAGAATAAAGTAGTACCATCTTTTATTTCGTTACCTTCTCGTCAGCTGCTAACGGGCCAAAGACATTATTAAATATATCTACAAAAACAATTTTAACATACTTGCACAGAGTTCATTTAATAATGTCTTTGCCCTGTAAGCAGCTGACGAGAAGGCAACGAAATAAAACATGGTACCACTTTATTCTGCAAAAACTGTAGTTAGTGCTTTGTTCAAATTCTTTTCATATCCTTTACTTACAATGGCCATGTCTCACTACTCACAACGATGAGGGAGGACGGAGCAAACTGTTCAGCAATACACGTCCTTTGATCGACAAAATGTGTTTCAGGTAACTGACTTTAAACTTAACCATCCATTGCACTGATTTGGGACCTTTTTCAAAACTCACACCAACACTATCATGTGTTGTGTTACAGCCGTACACCAAACTTTTAGATAACATGTACGCTAAGACAAAGTGTTTTCTTCTGATTATCTCCCACGCTCCTCAACTTTCTCACTATATTGGGATTCCTTACTACCGGTTGAGAAAGGTTAAGGAGTGTGCATCGGTGGTGACCGAAGCAGAAACCCTCCTCTTCACCATAGATCGAGTGGGTGCGTAGTAAACGAGCAACTAATGATACACTGCTGCAACAGCAGTCGCTGGCTGCATCATGGCCTCTAGCCTGTCAACTAGCAAACAATGAATCGCTTAGTCAAACCCCAGTATATATGTGCATCATTTAGCATGTAGTAGTTGCAGTATATCACAATAAAAAGAAACTTTGAAAAAAAACGGTGTGCAAAATAATTCCACTCGACTACTTACCTTGTTCTAAACGAGACATAGTAAAGTCTATGATGTATGCGGTGATGCCACACTTTGGAACGCTTATCACTTGATCATTCAGACGGAATTGCACATATTTATTATTACTGTGCAATTCTTTGTCACCACTGTTTTTATTTTCTTTATCAGATTCTGCGTCTTCTTCATCCATATTTTCCAATTCTCTACATGAACGTCCACGATCATCATCATCATCATCATCATCATTACTGGCACACCATAAATCGAATACATGAAATGTCAATGCGAATAGATCGAATATACCATGAAGTTCTACAGAGACATTCATTGAAAATAAAATAGAATAAACAAAAACAGTGGTGAGTGTATAACATTAAAAATTCCGCATTAATAAAAGTACACTAAGCATAATAAAGAAGACTGAGGTTAAAGCATAAGGCTATATTAGTGTATTTAATTATATACACTAGTGATTGACGGAAACATATTAGTAGCTGAAAACCAGTCCAAACAATTGACGGCTGTCACTCTCATTTAGCAACAAGCTCACACTCATCAGTTGTGTCTATCCGGTTTCATTCAGGTCAGAGGGATCGAACCGTCCAAATACTGGCTGCTGACTAGCTACTAATTCGATAAATTCGTCATTTACCAACCACATACACAGTTAAAAGAGGGGAATCACTACAGCTTCTTAGCGGTGTATAATAATGAGTTTGACTCAAGTCACAGACAGCTAGATATCAGTTCAAGCTAGTGGAATTCAACCTGCCTAGCTCAACTACTATATTATGTATGCTCCACTGTTATTCCATGGTATTCAGAAGAGGATTTATTGTGATGCTAATTAATATTTCTCCTTTCCAGAGGAAACCTCGAATTCTGTTATATACTGAATAGGGAAAATATAATCCTCATAAGGGACATTACAAAACACCTTTGTGGATGATAGTGATGTCCCACACGGAAAACCTCGTTGAAGCCTTTGACTTGAAGAAATGAGTAAGACGGAACTAACTGACTAGTATCACCGATGACTAGCCTGATAACAAATAATTTTTGGACACATAAGGCAGGTTTAAGTCTTTTTATGGCCAAGGCTTCAATGAATTTAAGTATGTGGCCCAACCTCGTTTTATATATCGGCTTAAAGGCACTGTTGAAATCAACCTTATAACCCATCTCTATAATATGCTTGGCTATAGATGATGTTGGACATCTATTTCCGGGTTCAGTTGTGTCTGGTGATTTCATTTGTTGCTGCAGCCACTTTGGAATGTGTCATGTAGCCCTAACCTGCAGAGACCGATGGGTCCCCCCTATGTACGTGTCTCCACACATACATGTAAATTGATAAACACAGTGGGATGTGACACTATCGTTCGGATGATGTGAGGGTTTACAGAACAGCATAGTCCTCGTTTTCTCTATGAAGATAAGTTTAGCTGCATAATAGGTTCTATTGATTGCGGCCTTTAGTCTTTTTCTAGTGACTAAACTTTGTTGATCACCTCTGAACGGTAAGGATATGTAAACATCCTTTTTGGGAGCTGATTGGATTGATAAAGCTCTATGGTTGACACTTCCGTAACGTCTAATAAATCTCAGTAAGTAATTGTTGTCTAACAGTATTTCAGTGAGGTGTTGTCTTTTTTCTTCAATTGTATCGGTAGTACATATACGGTGAATGCGCTTGAACAAACATCTAACCAACGCCTTCTTATACTGTAGTGGACAGAAACTATGATAATTAAGGTACTGTCCCGTCCATGTGAACTTTCTGTAGACAGATCGTTTTACTGACCCATCTTCTCGGCGGGTTATTAGTACATCTAAAAATGGCAGGCATCCATTATTCTCTTTAACATATGTTAGTGATATGCTGTTTTGTGCTCTATTGATCCGGTTCAGGATTTCTACGGCGTCTGTCGGTTTATCACAAATGACTATCATGTCATCTACATATCTTTTATAAAAATAAACTTTTTCAATTTCTTTATCCACTAAGTTCTCGACATGCGACATATATATCAGCTAAAAATGGACCTAGGGGACTTCCCATGGCAACACCATCGATCTGGCGATAATGCTCGCCCTCGAATGTAAAATTAACATTCTTAGTACAAAGAAGCAGTAACTCTTTTAAGTAGGAAATGGATACTGGTAATAGGAAATCATTGTCAGAGATGTAATCGCATAAAATGTTAACCGTCTGTAAAAGAGGTACATTCGAAAGTAAAGATTCAACATCTAGGGAAAACATCATTTTGTCCTTTATATCAAAGTTATCAAGACAATCAATTTACATGTATGTGTGGAGACACGTACATAGGGGGGACCCATCGGTCTCTGCAGGTTAGGGCTACATGACACATTCCAAAGTGGCTGCAACATCAAATGAAATCACCAGACACAACTGAACCCGGAAATAGATGTCCAACATCATCTATAGCCAAGCATATTATAGAGATGGGTTATAAGGTTGATTTCAACAGTGCCTTTAAGCCGATATATAAAACGAGGTTGGGCCACATACTTAAATTCATTGAAGCCTTGGCCATAAAAAGACTTAAACCTGCCTTATGTGTCCAAAAATTATTTGTTATCACCTTAAACCTGCCTTGGTAATTCAATTTAGAACCAAGGACTAATTTACTTCCTAATATTTTCAACCCCTTCTTTGCCTTGTTTTTTCTCCTTTTATCTTTCTTACCCACACCTTTTGTGTCTCCCTACCCATTATTTGTGACCTTGACCTGTATACATTCAGACCTGTATTGTAATTATTCATGTCTTCTTGCATTATATAAAAATTGTGTATGACAAGTACATGTGTGATCAGAATGTCCGAAATGTGTTGCGCCAATACATTACACGTTTCAGATAAACTACGTCTTCTTATTGTGTTGTCGATAATAATAACAGATTGGATGGATAATTATTAACTAACTCATACGTCAGTGCTAGTTAAACTGATGGTATGCCCACTTGAAAGTTACTCACAACACGTACATACATACATACATACATACATACATACATAGATACATACATTACATATATTACGACCTATGCTAACTTACTTACACACTCACTGTCATGCGTTTGATAGAAAGCATAACAGGCTCTATGCGATGTGTTTGTTTTCTGTAACCTACTTTCAATCCTTCATTCCTATGTCTCCTATCAATTGTGACTATTCATCAGGTGACTCTTCTCTTGTCAATCCCCACTCGATTACCTTAGATTATTCGTTTTTTTTTCATAAATTATTAGTATTATTATTATTTACTATACATGTTGACTTATTCTGATACTAACTGACTGGAAATACCGCATCTGATCATTTGTTATCATTTAACAGGACTTCAAGTGAACATAGAGGAAAAAAAGGTGATGAAGATAACTAACCAACCAACAAACAACAACAACAAGCACCAATCACTATCTACCGGAGATATCAGATAGAAGTCACTTATCTGGGAACCATCGTTTACAGACGGCACGGCTGAAGCTGCATAAAAGTCAGGAAGGATTTTTGAAGCAAAAACAAACATTCATTATTCTCGAAACAGCCTGGAAATGTGCTGCACTCAGCTTATAGAACAGGATTCCGATTTGTAATACGAATCCCAAGTTAGTTTTTCTTCATGGGTCACAGAATTGCAGGGCGCACCTCACGAAATGCATTACCAACAGCCAGCTGCAGACTTTTATCCAACAGCAGAGACGGTTGTGCTGGGGATACTGCTGAGAGGTTGGGCAAAGCTAGCGTAAGACAGTGCGGAGCGGTCAGGTGATAAAGAGGTCCGGTGAGTAATGGTGGAACGATTGGTGGCAGAGTTCGACAGTCAGAACAACAGGAAGCAGGTAATTCAGCAGTTCCATGCTATGAAGCTGGCAATGGACGGAGATCTACTCGTATTGACGGTGAAGCAGACAAGCCTACTTCGTCGGTCTCCTCCAACACTTGATGAAGAGTCTGAGACGCAGTTGTTGGCGTCTCAGGTTATCAAGTGTACCACAGCACTTTGCTCAGCAATCACAACTGGTCAACACTGCACAACATACAGACGTCGGAGAGCACACGAAGGTAACAAGACAGATACTTTTCACAACAGCGGCCGCAATAGCGCCATCGAACCAGCGGGACAGGAAATTGAAGATTTGCAGAGTAAAGTAGCGGCGCTACGAATGAGCGCCAGGAAAGACCAGTGTTTTGAATGTGACAAACCAGAAGACCAGGGGACATGCTGACCGAGTAGACATAGAAAAACGAATTTAGACACATTTAATATTATTCTATCGAATTCTGAGTGTGTGCCCTATCCATCTCCATTTTCTCCTACATATTTGTTGAACAATAGGCTCTTGACTGGTTTGTTCTCAGTCAACCAGAGTCTCTTGTTCCTAATTCTTTCTGGCCAGTCAGCCATACGATCTTCAGTATGGAGCCAACAAAGCGGACAGCTGTTGATAAAAGCCTATAACTGGCCGTCGGAAATCCTTTTCGTGACGCGCACGTCAAGTTTCTGACCCTTATAGAAGAACTGACTGACTGACTGTCTGACTTGACATTTGTGTTGAACAGAATCCGAATCTTGTTCTTTGTGATGCTGAGGCGGAGTGCAGTGCAGAAGATTTCCAAACTGGTTTCAGGTTGATGAATGCGTGCGTATTTCTCCTTTCCGAGTCACCTGACAACTCCAGTAGGTCGAATAAAGCAGCTCAATCTTCAGGGCGCTTTTACTAAACTCCAAACCTACACACCATAATTTTGAAAATACGTCTGATCATAAAATTCTAGATACTAACAGTTTGAACGGACATTAAGGTGTGATGTTAGCTGATGCATAGGAAATCCTGATTAATAAATAAAAAATGGATATGTATCACTAATTATTAGTACTTGGTCAAAATTCTCCACTGTCCATATCTTCTTATGGAAACGTTAAGAAATGTTTTACAACTGTTTACCCACACACACGCATGCACACTCTGTTTAAAGTGTTTAACAAAGGTAGACCAATATTTGTAAGTCCGAGGTCAAATTTTGATCACAGCTGATAAAATTTTGTTTATTATACTTGTTGATACTTCTTGAATGACTCATGATTGGACAAATTTTCAAAAACAAGTGATGTTCCTTTTATATATAAACCTATGTTATGTTAATTTCGATTAATTTCCCTGAAGAAGTTCGGACCAGATTGCCGAACGAAACGTTGGAATTACTCATTTCAATCTCGCTGAAACTTTACAAATATAATTTTCTATACAAATGTCTACTTCTCACTCGGCGCCCAAATATTTTAGAACTATCCTGTCAAATCTTGACGACAGTTCATTTGTATTATTTTGCAATCGAATTAAATTAATAAAGAAACAGTGTAATTAGAACAATCATCGTGTTTTCACTCTCCGTTGTCTGCAACAGAATGCATATCCTGAATCCGTAGCTGTCGAGTCACCTGACAACTCCAGTAGGTCGAATAAAGCAGCTCAATCTTCAGGGCGCTTTTACTAAACTCCAAACCTACACACCATAATTTTGAAAATACGTCTGATCATAAAATTCTAGATACTAACAGTTTGAACGGACATTAAGGTGTGATGTTAGCTGATGCATAGGAAATCCTGATTAATAAATAAAAAATGGATATGTATCACTAATTATTAGTACTTGGTCAAAATTCTCCACTGTCCATATCTTCTTATGGAAACGTTAAGAAATGTTTTACAACTGTTTACCCACACACACGCATGCACACTCTGTTTAAAGTGTTTAACAAAGGTAGACCAATATTTGTAAGTCCGAGGTCAAATTTTGATCACAGCTGATAAAATTTTGTTTATTATACTTGTTGATACTTTTTGAATGACTCATGATTGGACAAATTTTCAAAAACAAGTGATGTTCCTTTTATATATAAACCTATGTTATGTTAATTTCGATTAATTTCCCTGAAGAAGTTCGGACCAGATTGCCGAACGAAACGTTGGAATTACTCATTTCAATCTCGCTGAGATTTTACAAATATAATCTTTGACAATTTTTACATGTCTGAAATTTGTTACGTGAATACACTACACACGTTTCAGATAAATGACATTGTCTTATTGGTTTGTCGAAATCCCTCGAAAATATAAACTGAATTCATTAACGCAGAGGATATATTCACCACCCACCCCTCACAGTCAACCATTTTCCTGACCATGCAAATCTCCACTCAATTACTATTTCCCCCATAGACACATTTGAGAATAGATATGTTTGTGGACACTGCCAAAGAGACACTACAGGCCTTGTGTAAGTTGCTATGTAATACACTACGTTTACTTGATCCGAAGAGGTGATGGCACTTTTAGATGATCGAGAGATGACACAAAGTTTAAATGTCCATGATGTACATGATAATTTCCACAGATGATAGTGACGATAACGATGCAAGTAACGCTCAAAAGAAAACAAACACAGTTGTAGAGAGTATGCCAGATTTGCTGTGAAACTTGTGGAAGAGAAGTGTTCTACGGTTGCGAAGGTAATTACAGCAACCGTTCGACTGCAGAGGAAGTAGACAGCAAGGAACCCGCCACAGCCACCACCACGTGAGGTATCACGATGGATGTTACGTCCATGGTAGTATATACGGCCACAATCTGACAATTTACACAAAAAGGAAGCAGGTTAACTGAACAATTTCACAGGCTGAATTTTTGAGTTGAACAACCGGAAAAAGCATACATAGATACCTTGAAGCCAGGTCTCTAACAAAATACTTATTGTCAGTAGTCTGATCATACCCCAGGAGCAGTTTACCAGAGCGACAAGTGATGGAAAAGGCAGTTAACAATCTCATTTCGATAGTAAACAGCATATGGAAAATGTTGAAAGATGAATTAACAATAATTTCAAAGGGTCCAACATCCATCATGCGTTGATCTAAGAATGTTACTAATCAACTAGCTTATTTATTAGGAACTTAATAGTCAAAGTGCCTAGTGACTAAACATGAAAGACAATATTGCAAAGTATATATTCCCGCCTGACTGCAGTGTCAATTTATAATGAAGAGTGTTCGCTTGCATTCAACAATCAAGTTTTGATTGTCTTATTTTCTTATATAAAGCTTGACCGCAGACTGGCATCAGTTAAAGAACCATTGAAGAACCAGCCAGGAGAACCGTTTTCTCCTAGTTCGAGACTCTTCATCAGTACGCACCCACACCGTGAGATTCGAACCCCGGACCTTCCGGTTACAAGACACGCTCTTAGACCATTCATTCAGACACTCGGATCCAACTCAATGGCTCATGAATTTCAACAGCTTTACTGATTCGTGATTTTAGCGCGACTACTAACTGCTCGTCCTCAATCCCGACTCTTTAGAATTTATTTTGTGTATACGCCCTTTTCCATATGTTTAGCAGCTAAAACTGACTAACTTTCAAGTGTTAGTGCGCAAGGATTTGAAGTAACATCGCGAACTGACTGAGATCAGTTAGAGAACAACTGAAAGAAACAGGTGGGAGAACTGCACCTCATCGAGGATCATATCAATAACTTTTCAGGTTATAAGACAACAAGCTAACAGTTCTTATTCCAGTGGCTAAATGGTCAACCCACTTCACCACATAACCAACAAACCCTGATTCCAAATTGCCGATTGGGGAAACGGATGCGTGTATTGCCGAAGAGTTGAAAACTGATAGGAATAAAACAAACACTCCGGTAACTCTGGGTTTTTTTCAATGCCTCAAGCTATCTAATATCACTTCCAGTCAATCAATCACGCTGTTGTAGTTGCGCGCCACTAGCCTTCCCAACACACAGTTTGCATGCATTCAATATATATAACACAAGCTACAATCCACAACAAATGCATGTATTTCAACTGAATAACTTTGTCAACTAACAAACACTTTCTCTCGGAAATACAATATCTATTTTCTATCTTAATCAATAAAATTAAAACAATAGAAAAAAGATTATATTACTAAAATACAAAGAATAAAATCTGAGGGCATTGAAAACAAAAACAGGACGAATGAAAGACTGAAGGAAGAAATAAAACAGCAGCACAATTCACAAAGTGAAAGGGTAACACAGACATGCACACAATCACAGCCACGTTTGCAGTGGTTACTTATCACTAAAAAATTCCCGACAATTTTTAAACAATTTATGTGTTGTCACAAGGTCGAATGAGGATTTGTATCTGAATTTCCGTGTACTCAACTCTAAGTCTTTCAGGTGTTTACAACAAATAGCATGACGTTTACAGGCGGATGCAGGAGATGAGGCTAATTCGTGCAAATCACAGCATAGTTTTGTTGTCAAGTAGTGAAGCCACATGACATTGGTTTTCGGCGAAAACTTACTCCAATCATTTCTAAGGGAGGAAAACAAAGAAAATAACAAAATCATGATAAGCGGGTGAAAAAAATAATAGTAATAATGCATTAATACAAACGGATAGAATAACCAATTTAATCATTATTTAATATACATAAACAAGACTGAGGGAAGTTGTACGCTTATATTTTTTAACAGGATACTGAACACTGTCAGCAGCGTGCATCCACAACACGAGGTTCCAACCCCGGACCTTCCGGTTACAAGACACGCTCTTAGACCATTCATTCAGACACTCGGATCCAACTCAATGGCTCATGAATTTCAACAGCTTTACTGATTCGTGATTTTAGCGCGACTACTAACTGCTCGTCCTCAATCCCGACTCTTTAGAATTTATTTTGTATATATGCCCTTTTCCATATGTTTAGCAGCTAAAACTGACTAACTTTCAAGTGTTAGTGCGCAAGGATTTGAAGTAACATCGCGAACTGACTGAGATCAGTTAGAGAACAACTGAAAGAAACAGGTGGGAGAACTGCACCTCATCGAGGATCATATCAATAACCTTTACAATCACATTTTTTAACAGGATGCTAAACATTGTTAGTTCATTCATGAAAAGGTTCAATGTGACAGTAAAATAGCCTGAAACATGAGTGACTACATCTTGAAGAATATTTGATAGGAAGTAATAAAAGTAAACATACAGCTATATACTACTGATTAATTGAGATTAGTAGTTGTATACCACTCATATCATCAATCAGTATTGGTGCTTGCTAGTCAGTCAGACAGAGATGATCGAAACACACTGGACGATCGTTCCGCTCGTTTGTGATCGACTACATCAGCAGTGTGGTGGTGAAACTGTGGTGAAAATTCCACCTTTGCAATTCGCTAACCAGTGTTTGTAAATTGTTAATTCGATTCATGAGTGTGATGACTGGACAGCTCACGGCAACAGTAATTTGAGAAAGCCAATCGAAAAACAAAACAAAAAACTACTTAGGACCACCAAACATATGTGAAAGGATATTTTGAATGGTGAATAGTGGGAAAGGGGATCCGAGTTTCAAAGATAACAAAGTCTGAATACATCTCTACACACCACTGTGAACACAATTTTTGCATAATGTTATCCAAAGTTTTCAAGCCGTGACCAGTAGGGTACAGCAGGTTGAAGGTGAGGACAGTTACTCATCGAAAAAGACATTGCGAAGTGGTCGCGCTATGTCGTCAATTAGCAGAAGTTAGAATTCATGGGCCTTTGCATCGCATCTCAATGGCTTACTGGTCCACAACCTCCTGTTGTAACCAGAAGGTCATGCGTTCGAACCTCGAAGGGTGTGTAGTGCTGAAGAGCCACAGACTAAGCTGATGAAACAGCCGCCCCGTACTCCCAGGTTTCCCAATGGTTCTCTAACCGATGTAAGCTCATGATGAAGTCCTCCAACCAATCAAACAAAATCGCTTCAAACCAATACTTCAGTACGCACCCACACTTCGACCTTCGAACCCAGGAAGGATCTCCGGTTACAAGGTGAGTTCGTAGACCATCTAACTACTACTGGGACCTACTCGATCCAATCGCCCATGAATTCCAACACTCCTGACAATTCGTGATATACATAGCGCAACAGCCAGCCAATGAAATAAGTGAAGGTGAGAAACTGATGTCTTATCTGACTTGGCCGACCCCGTCGGTTACGACTTCTCACTAAAACTCCAGGTAACTTCTACCTGTATACAGCCAATTGCTAATGACATTCAGATTAATTAATCAAGTGTTAGTGTATGCAGGGATTTGAGTGGTTACAGGTATCATCACAAGTTAGCTGACATCAGTTAAAGAACCTTGGTGTGTGAATGTATATTGTAACAAAGGACAACAACTTTCGTCCATACTTGAACACAAAAAAGTATATCATTTTATGTATACTTACTGATTATGTGATTTCATACGACGATATATATCAAACTGATAATCTCCCTGTGATTGAAATAAAGTAGGGTCACCACTTAAGTCAACATAGACTAAACGATCATCTACAATTAAAGAAGAAATATACAACAAAAGTGACTGAAGGCTGTGTAGAATAGATTGATTAAATTCCGACAAATAAAGCTTGGAATGAACACTTCTCTACAAAAATTGAATGTAGACGCATCTGATTGACTTGGTTTCAACATAGAACTTTGCATAGAAGTACGACAGTTCAAACTGCTACAACACTATATACACCACATAAAGGAAGACAAAACGGACAAAAACTAATATTCACAATAGGCAGACATGCACGTGGGACAAAGAATAGCAACATGGAAGGACATGATGGTTTAAAAGGATATGACATATGAATGTGTCTATGTCAATTATCGAGCCATAGTACCAATTGTCTTCAGCCTTGATTGGCGTTCTTAGAATCCTGAGGACTCTTAAGCAGGACTGTCTGACTTATTTCAACATAGAACTTTGCACCAATGTGCAGCAGTTCAAGTCGCCAAACTCCATGTAGCACACAAGCCAAGAGAAAAAAGTAGAAGGAATGCAAAATAGGGACAGTGAACAGAGATATGAGGTAAAAAGAATAGTAATATCGAAGAACAATATAGTGTTATTGGAAATCATATGTCACAAAGAGTGGATGCGTATACGCCGGCCATTGAGAACAATTTTGAGCCAAATCACCGATTGTCTCCAGTCTCTGGTTTCTACCGTCCCGAGGGCCCCAACCAAGAAATCTGAACCTTCCTACGTTACTGGCTTAAACTAACTGTTGTGGATTTCACTGACTGATGAAGCCATGTTTTGTTTTGACTGCCGCTAGGCCCTATGTCAGCTAACATCGCCCAACCAGGAAGCCTAACACCCAATTAGGCATATATATATATATAATTTCACCTAAACTTAGCTTGATCGATGACCCCGTGAACAACCTGCAACGGCAGTAGGTGGATGGGTAGACTCCTTGCTTAACAGTCTACACCTAACCTCAAGTTTACTCATATTGTACCGCTTGAAACAGGAGATAGAACGCAAACATCTACAGTCAAAACGAATACATGCAAAACAGGATTTGTTGTTAGTTCGTACTAATCAAACAAAAGAAACGGAAACTTGGGCATGTTCACCGTTGATTTAGGATATGACACATCTGATAATGACTAGAGCCTCTGGGTCACATGATCTCTTACAAGCTACTAAGGGAGTTGTAACGCATCAATAAATGCAAATATCCCTCATCCTCTGGCATGGCTTGACCACTTATACCTTTTCCCAACCAGTGTCGAGTATAGCGAACAATTAATGATATCAAATTTTGAAGTCGTGTGATTATAATTGATATGATTATGAACAATAAATTTTGTTCGAAACGTCATCCAGTAAATAATACTGTTTCACTGTGTGATATACCTAATAAACAAACTAATATAGACTCCGGCATTTTTTTAATATACTCTCACTACTATATGACGACACTCATTAAAAGCCTCTGCCAAGCAAATCATATTCACTACGCCTTCACGACGCAGGGGGTTCTTCACAAAACTGAAAGGCTTAATTCGAAAGCATTGGCGCTTAGAACCGAACTGGTGGACATCCAGGTCTATCTAGGGAAGCTGGAACATTCTCGTTTGAAACCTATGACGTATGTGGGCTCCAGAATCCGATTGGATTTTGGGTGATGTGTGAACCTGTTATCGTCACGAGAAAGCACGGGAATGTATCTCCTGACATTTCTCGCCTAACTTGTGGATCAGAATTCTCACGTCAAAGGCCGGTGGAAAGGGTAGCTCCTTAAGACAACTATCTCCACTTCGATCTGAGCATTAGGGCAGACTATGATATTTTGTGTGACGCATCTCCTGATATCGTTAATGCGCCAAGTTTGTTTTCATTATAATAATACGCCTTGAAGTAGTAAGCCAGATGAAAAGAAAAAGTTGGGCATGGGGCTAGCAACCCCATCCCCCCTCAAATCCCATTAAAAGCACCCACTGCTATTGACACTTTATATCTTAAAGTCTGTAGCCATATGTTGTACTCGAAACACAAAAGAGGGGGAAAATGCTAAACCTGCAAGAATCTTTACCGTCAGACGTAACTCCCTCTCTGTCGCGCTTATACAATTGGTGAGAACATACATTACTGTCTGTCTGTCTGGATTCAACATAGAACTTGGCACCGAAGTGCAGCAGTTCGAGTTGCCACGTTCCAAATTAGCACACAGAGATAGGCGAGAAGATGAGTGAAGAGAATCAATAGAGCTTTGACAAGTATAAGAGTGAAACAGAATGAGTAATGGTAGAAAGGAATATGGAAGATTACAGAGACCGAATACATCTGCGCCATTGACAACGATTTTGAGCCATGTCACCTTTTGTCTCCAGCCATTGATTCTTAGAGTCCCGAGGACCCCAACCCGGAAGTCTGCATCTCCCTACATACATCACTACTCAACAACCACTTGCACAATTCCATGCAATTGGTGGTGGACCACATATCTACTGCGGTAGGGTTAGGGATACATACCTCTCGGTTGCCCAAACATCGTTGAACGGAACGGGACTTGAACCTTAAATCGACTGGTTGAAGAAGTCGGGTATCTAGACCACAAATCATAGTTCCACAGAACATATATTATATATTAAATATTCCCACAGTAAAATTTAGAACAACACATTTAAGCGAACAATATTGTGTTTTCAATGAGATCTCATCAGGCTTAACTCTAATATATATATAAGTTTACAAATAAAAATTCAAATATAAACCAATCATGGTGTTTTGTCTATAGGATAATACGATGGTGAATATAAGTTGTGCAATTAGTCATAATAGTAGTAATGATAATAATAATAATAAAAATGGTCTTATCAATAATAAGGATGGAAAAGTGAGGCAATCTGTGATAACACGAATAATGAAAAACAGCATGATTAAACAAACAACTGTTCAAGTGGAAGTAGTCGATAAAGGCTAGTAAAAACAAATGAACCGACTGAGTAATGTTAGATTGTAAGGAATACGAAGTCTATTGGAAAGATTCGGTGGGATACAATGAATTACTTTGAAGGCTCTCGTTTTCTCGATTACATGACCACTATCAATTAAGTGTGACAAAATTGAGCTACGAATTGTTTTTGTCTGTCCTTCGCCAAACCGCGATGGGAGATGTTCACTAACACGTTGGCTAAGCTGTCTAGTAGAACGCCCAATATAACTGTCACCGCAGGTGCAGCTGAATTGATAAATGCACATAGATGTGGCAAAACTATCAAGCTTATCCTTCGTTTGCGTCCCAATCATTCGTCGGTTGGAGAATGACAAACATAGGTGTGCTGCATAAAATGTTCTTCGTATACTCCTTGAAAGTCTTTAGAATAAAATCTCACTTGATAAGTCACCATTAAATTGTAACTTAAAAAATAGAGGTTTCTTTCGTGCAGTCAGTCTCCGGTGTTTTCTCCGATATTTTCATATGTTTCTTTAGGAAATTACTCGGATAGCTCATCTCCATCAATGAATCGTGAATATATTCAAATTCCTTTTGTAAGAGGTCACCTGTACATATCTTCCTTGCTCTGCTCGCAAGACATTTTACAACGTTCCTCTTATATTTAATGGGCACGTAACTAAGGAACTGTGTGTATTGCCATGGGAAAGTGCTTTTTCTATACACGCTTCTCCCAAGTGACCCATCTTCTCTCCTACTTAGCAAGACATCCAGGAAATGTAGTTTATTCTCCTGCTCCTCTTCACAAGTAAAGGTAAGCGAAGGGTGGATGTTGTGGAATTTCAGCAACAATTCGTCTATGTTAACATTTCCATCAGCTAAGATAAATGTATCATCGACATATCGGTAGTACATATCAAATTGCTTGATGATGTCCTTCAATTTCCCGTTTTCAAGTTTTGCGAGAAAGAAGTCAGCTAATATTGGGCCTAATGGTGAACCCATAGCTATTCCATCTACTTGTCGATAGTATGAATTATTGAAGACAAAGTGAACATTCATTGTGCATTTAAGAAGTAATTCTTTGAGGCTACACAAGGGGATTCCTAAGTCTAATTGCCTTTCGGCGACTTCTTGACAAATATAATCTACTGTTTCCATAAGTGGTACATTAGTGAATAGTGATGATACATCCATGGATAACATGCGTTTATACTTCACATTAGTCTCGGATATTTTAGAAACAAAGTCGAAGACATCACTAATTCTATGTTGCACGATTTCTCTGTGCAAAGGACCCAAAACCTTCACTAACCACTTCGCTGTTCCGTGAAATGGAGAGCTATACATATCTAAAACAGGACGAAGAGGAAGGCCCGGTTTGTGCACTTTTGGTAGACCGTAAAGACGTGGAGTATTGGTACCCGTTGGTTTCATGGACTCATACGTGGCTGATGATAATACTCCTATTTGGTTCAGTTTTTTGAGGGAGTCGGTCATATATTATACACACAAACCTTAAAAACCCCGAGAAGAAATTTGTAGTGTTTCCATCAGTTGAAACTGCAAACCAATAGAAAATGATTTTCAAGGGTTAGTCTGTAGGGATCACCACGGGTTGATATCTTTTAATAATAATGATAATAATAATAATTTGCTTTATTCCAAAACAGTACTTGTGATACAGAATGGAATTCTCAGCATTTCACTACAGTATTGCATCCAGTTTGCACATTAACAATAAATAAAATTCTACATAGATTATGGGTAGTCTCAGTTAATTTTGACAACAACATATTAGCACATCGGTAGCAAAGCCAAAAGTGAACAGAATGTTTGAAGGTGTCAGAAAAGTAGATACTAGCATATTTACTGGCGTAAGTTGTAACAAAAAGTTCGAGATATACGGAGCGTGAAAGAACGAAAAATTTTTTCAGTAGAATTTGTAAGGAAGAGAGAAACAAAACAACACATAACAAAAAAAGGAAAAGAAACAAAGAAAACGTTGTACCTATAAATGATGATATGAGTTGGAAAGACGAGATCCAATTGTCCTACTGACTATTTAATAAGTTATAAGTTTCACAC